GATGAACATAGTGTATAGGGAGATGTGTGTGTGTGTGTGTGTGTGTGTGTGTGTGTGAGAGAGAGAGAGAACAGCACACGGATGTGGATCGTGTATAGGGAGATCTATGCAAAACTCCACAAAAATAGCATGACTGTGCTAGACTGTTTCATCGGACTTCTCATCCACCATGAGGAGGTTGTGTGTATGTGTGTTTGTATGTGTGTGTGTGTGTGTGTGTGTGTGTGTGTGTGTGTGTGTGTGTGTGAGAGAGAGAGAGAGAGAGAGAGAGAGATGGATGTACATGCACATCGTGTAAAGTACAAGTGGTTGTCTTGTCAGTTGAACTGCCTCTCCGTTTGTACTTCGCTGGGTGACCTCCAGCTCCAGCGTGTGAAGGAATAAAAGCATGTCCCAATACGGTGGGTGTTCCGATTGAGACGCTGCATCAAAAAGTCAGACTAGTCTGGAAAAAGTCATGGAATGAATTTTTTATTTTGTGGGGGGGGGAGGGTAAGGAGGAGGGAGATATCTGGAGGTCGAAACATGTTTTTAGCCTACCCCCCCCTCCCCCGCCTCCCCCTCCTCCCCTCTCCCTCCCACCCCGCCTTTGTCTGTCGGCTACCCCTTTCGTTTTTTTCGTTTCATGCGCTCACAAGCGCATATTGTGTGCGAGGTCATTGTTTTGGCGGGATAAATTTTGGTGGGAGAAATTTTGGCGGGAGAAATTTTGGCGGGAGTTCTAAGTATTCGCGTGTTTACGCGGGCCTTGTTCCATCACTGGCGCCAATTGCGAAAATTTCAAATTTATCTGGCCACTTTTGACGGCAGGATTCACTTGCCATTGTCATTTGTTTTTATTTATTGATTTATTTATCTATTTTTCCGTAGATCTCCATTTCTTTTTCACGTTTGGCGAGTAGCGTCTCAAAAAAGCCCTAATTCAAAAAAAAAAAAAAAAATCCCTAAGAGGCGGATTTTTTTTTAATTTTATTTTTTTTTCTGGGAGGGTAGGGAAAAGTTCGGTACTGGTAACTCCCGAACACAACGCTCCGTCATCGTGACTGTAACTTGATCGGAAAGGTGTCCGCATTCATGATCAGGGTGCGTTGTGTTTGGGGGAGCACGGTAATGAAAGTTCGAGAATGATAAATACATTGCAAAAAACAAAAACAACAAAAACAAAAACAAAAAAAAAATACATTGTATCTTTACTAGGGTGCACACTGCACTCTGCTAGGCCTCCCTGGATTAACTTCGAGGCCACATACATCCTGGACCTGGCCATAATTGCGGTCAGATATATCCAGGAAAGTGTGACTATGGCACTGCTCTTTTAATATCTAAAAGAACAATGTATGAAAGTCTCTCTCCTGGAAAGACAGGCCATTTCAAATGTACCTCTCCTGAAAAGACAACCACCTGGTGGTGCGCACGGCCATTCCATTCTTCTTCTTCTTCTTCTTCTTCTTCTTCTTCCGTTTCCTCCTCCTCCTCCTCCTCGTCCCTCTCTCCTTCTCCTCTTATCCTTCTCTCCTCCTCCTCCTCCTCCTCCTCCCTTCCTCCTCCCCGTCCTCCTCCTCTCCGCCTCTTCTCCTTCTCCTCTCCTCCTCTCCTGGTCCTCTCCTCCTCCTCTCCCTGTACTCTCCTCTTCCTCTCCTCTTCCTCTCCTCCTCCTCTCCTCCTCCTGTACTCCTCTCCTCCTCCTCCTGTACTCCTCTCCTCCTCCTCGCTTCTTCTCCTGTCTTTGTCCTCTCCACTCCTCTCCTCCTCCTCTCCTCCTCTCCTTGTCCTTCCCTCGCTCTTTCCTTCTAAAGGCTTCTTCTTCCTCCTCCTCCTCCCTCCCCCCCCCTCCTCGTGTTTCTTCTTCTTCTTCTTTCCTCCCGCCTCATCCAGTCCTCCTCCTCCTTCCTTCCTTCTTTCTTCCGTTCTTCTACTTTCCTCATCGTTGACGCCATCCACACTTTGAGATGTCGAAGGAAAAAAAAGAAAAAAAAAGGAATGGTGGGTTGCTCCTGTACGAGGAGAGGGCGGTGCAGTGACTGGGGATAAGGGCCCTCGCTCCACTACTCACCAAATGTGCAAAATGAGAATGTGTTGTCCTTCGGGACATCCGTTAAAATTGGAGCGATACAGAGAGAAAGAAGATTAGCATGGCCCCTGCACAAGGATGATACGCATAAATCGAGAAAAGGTCCAAATTAAAAAAAAAGAAAAAAGAAAGAATGAATCTTCCGCTAGAAAATGGAGAGATACATGGTCATAGTTTTTGTCTTTGGTGCATGTGGAGAGTAGTGGAGCAAGGCCCATGGTGGGGGAGATGGTGTGACTTGTGAGGGCATAATCACACTAGCACTTTTCCACTCAGGCTGTGGACGAGATTGCTGTCAGATTCATCCAGGTCTGGCCGTAATTGTGGGCAGATGCAAACAGTGAAGTCCTACCCTCTTCCCCCGAATACAACGTACGGTCATCATAGCTGTATCTAGACTGAAAGATGCCTCAAATACAACTCTAATGCCCCTACGTTGTATTCGGGGGAAGACGGTAGTGTGAGAATGACCTTGTTCGAGTAATGTCATCAATGCAATGACACTACCGTCTTCACCCGATCCGATGGTCATTATTGCTGAATGTGGACTCAGAGTTGGCCCGAATACATACAGCTATAATGACCGTACGTTGTATTAGGGTGAAGGCGGTTAGGTTATCTTAGACATCATCAACACGATAAACCATCTTATTGCTGTATCTAGACTGCGAGTTGGGCCAAATACATACAGCCATAATGACCATACGTTGTATTCGGGTAAAAACGGCTTAGGTTATATTCCACATCATCAACACGATACACCATGTTTATTGCTGTATCTAGACCGAGAGTTGCCCCAAATACATACAGCTATGACCGTACGTTGTATTCGGGTGAAGACGGTTAGGTTATCTTAGACATCATCAACACAGCACACCATGATATTGATGAATCTAGACTCAGAGTTGACCCAAATACATACACAGCTATAATGACCGGACGTTCCTTGTATTTGGTCGAAGAGGGTAGGTAGGTACGTTGTATTTGGTTGAAGAGGGTAGGTAGGATATTGTTGACATATCAGCTCAATATGCCAAGTCGTCATCTTGACAGGGGGTTGGTTACCCATCATGAATATGGCTATTCTTTTTTTTTTTTTTTTTTTTGCAATATAGCTATTCTTGATTGGATTCCAGGCTCGATTTGGTTCAGTATAGAGGCCGAAGGCTTTCTGTTTTTATATATTTGGTGTTTTTATATATTTGGGTTGGTGTGGCAATACTGCACGATATATTGTTATGATCAATTAATGAGACTTGGCTGGAAAGTCTTCTTACCTTTATCATTAGCATGGGTAGTTTGGGATGTCAAGCGTCCTATTAGTGAGGAGGGCTAGCTAGTAGGATGGAATTAGGGTACAAAAGCAGCGGAGATGGTGGCTCTGCTGCAGTAAGTCTTGCCGGAGGGAGGTAAAGAGGGTTGATGGCTTGTAGCTTGTTGCAGTAATCTTCTTCAGTAGTTCTAATTTTTCCTAGCCATAGCCGGGGCCATTTGCCCCGGTATCTTAAAACGTCAAAAATTTTCAATTCTGTGTAAACTTCCATATGGGACGCTGGGCCCGGTTCCCAGCACGTGTTGCTCCCCACGAATAGATTGGAGCCTTGTTCCCAAAAAAAAAAAAAAAAAAAAAAAAAAAAAAAAAAAAAAAAAAACGCGTGGGTAGTTTTTGTATCTGGTGTTTTAGTAGCCTTTGACTGGGTACCTTAACGACTGCCAGTGCTTACTCTAGATGCCCACTACGTGGTGGGTGCCACAAGATCTCCACAAGATCTCTTCGATATTGACGTCTTCGGATAAGAACAGGAGCGCAGAGGTTAGGCAGCGAAGTAGTATCATTGAGTTAATTCAGTTAATAGATACCTACCTACCCGTCTACCTACTTGCCTACCTACTTGCCTACCTACTTGCCTACCGAGTTCAACCTGAGAGATGGTTAATGGAAGGCTGAAAATTTGGGTTTTTTTGGCGCATCGCCAGAAGCAACGTGGTGAAAATTTTTGGAAACAAACAATGCAGGCTCATAATACAAACATAAAAAGAAACAAACAGGTAAAAGAAAACAAAATAAAAAAAACTCAAAAACACTAAAACACCCTAACACAAAAATGCTTTCCAAATTCAAATAAGTGTTCAACGAATTCGCTGTTTTCACCATGGCATCGCCAACTTTTTCGGTAATGGTCCAAATATGTCCAAATTGAATACATGATAACATACATATCACACAAAAGAAAACAAATCGAGAAAAAAAAAGCAAAAAACAAATCAAGGCAAGATGGCAGTTTCGATGATCGGCGAAGATGACACCACCTATTAACCACGTGCGGTCTAATATAGTACGTAAACACCTACCTACAGGCCCATCTTCGTACCCACAGACCGATCTGCATAGTTTGTAATCACCTACCCACCTAGGAACCTATCTACGTTGTACATGCAAACTTACCTACCTACCTTCACCAACAGGCCCTTTCATTCACCTAGCTGCTGCCCACCTAGCTACCTTCGTACGTACATATACAGAAGCCTACTTGCTACAAATGTACCTATAAACGAACA